AAAGAAAATTTTGCATCATCTGATTGTATAAAATATAAATTGAAGAAGATTGCCTCCAACAAAGTTGACATGAATAGAGGGTTATTAGGGAAGACATACATTGTAAATATCAATTTACGGTATGCCTATAACAGAGAGAGAGAGAGAGAAAGAGAGAAAGAGAGTTCAAGCTAGGTTATTAACATATCATCATCATGTGCTGTGGAAAAAAAAAACGCATTTTGGCATTTCATACACGCCTGAAAAAAAAAACGCATAGAGCTATACACAATCATGTGGAGAACGCATATCACTGACAAGTGATCTTGGGGGCGGATTACACTCCTGAAATTTGAAAAATAGAAATCTTTTAGACAGAGTAAACCAAAAATCAAACAGTAAGAAAATTTGCATTGGAGAATGAAGTAGCGAGGCAAAGTTTCTTGGAAGGAATCGTCCTTAACAATCCATGGACCGATGCATAAACGTAACAAAAGGAAATGTATTATTCGAACATTGGTTGGATTTAAAGGTTTACCTCCGCGCAGGCGATCGCGAGGCCGGCGAAGGAGAGAACGACTCTTTAAATACGTAGGAATATTTTAAAGGTACAGCCGCTCGGCTATACTATTGTGAAAATAAGCGAGAGTATCGCCGCGCGGCTATACTATTTATTCATTAGGAAAAAAAAAGACCTTCTTATCGATTTGGTGCCCACGTGTCTAAAACAGGTATAGCCGGGCGGCTACACTATTTTTTAAAATAAAAAATACCCGAGTATAGCCGCGCGGCTATACTATTTATAAATAAAAAAAGGAACCAGCCGAGCGCCTAAGCGCCCACGTGTAAAACAGGTATCGCCGGTCGGCTATACTAATTTTTTATAAAAATTCCCGAGTATAGCCGCGCGGCTATGTTTGGGAAAAAAGACCCCCCGGCAATGAAGTGCTCACTTGTCATAACAAGTACAGCTGTTCGGCTATACAAATTTTTTTTAAACATTACCGTAGTCAAGCCGCTCGGCTATACGATTTTTTTTTAAAAAAAAAAATATGGCTATACTATTTTTTTTTAAAAAAAAAAATATGGCTATACTATTTTGAAAAATACCCGATGAAAAAGGCGACCCTTGGATTTATCCAAAAACAATCTCTCTGGAGTGATTCCAGAGCCCCTGGAAGCGCTCGTCCATCTCAAGTATCTGAATTTGTCTTTCAACAGACTCCAAGGAGAAATTCCAACAGGATGACCTTTTCAAAACCTCTCCTCTCAATCATTTGTCTCGAATAGTGCGCTCTGTGGTGCAGCCCGACTCCATGTTCCACCATGCAAAAATAATACACATAAACCAAATTCAAGGAAAGCTAGTTCACCCAACCTGAAGTATCTTATTCCAAGGATCATATCAGCAATACTCCTAGTGGCCTCTGCAGCGATGTTCATACTACACAGGAAAAGGAAAGTGGAAGTTGCAACAGAGACTACCTTGCTACCTCAACTTCTTTGGAGAAGAGTTTCACTCCTAGAAATTCTAAGGGCGACAAATGGATTTCAAGAAAGCAACTTAATTGGCACAGGGCGTTTTGTGTCAGTATCTATTTCTTTAGGGGTTCTAGGTGTGTTTATAATAGTGTGAGTAGGGTATGATGTCTGTGTCTTCGTTTGTAATAGTCTGAGTTGGAAGGATATGGGTATGATGTTTGTGTCTTGATGTGTTCATAATAGTCTGAGTAGTATGGATATGGTGGATATGGGTATCATTTATGTATCTTAATTTGTTGATAATAGTCTGACTAGTATGGATATGGGTATGATGTCTGTATCTTGATGTGTTGAAAATAGTTTGAGTAATGTGGATATGGGTGTGACATGTATGTTAATGTGTTGATAATACTCATACACAACTTGCTCTTGGATTTCTTCTTCGTTTTTTTTCCTCAACTGTTATTGGTAGAGAGCCTCTTTCGAAAAGCAGTTAGCATTTCATCCTCATCTATAATCATAAATCTCATGGATATATAGATTGTAGAGCAACCAAAGTTAATATTTGTTTGGCTGCTGAGAAGACAGTAGAGAAAGTATAAGAAGTAAGTAATATTATAGATTAAAACAAATTAGAAAGAGATTATAGAGAAATTCCTAGAAAGATTGTATTTAGGTTCGAAAGGAACAGAAGAACCATACCAATACTTTAAAGGAAATGAAAATAAAATACAAGAAAATGATGAAAATATACTGAAAGAAGAAAATGGATACCATATATCTAACAAAATTTGTAGGAGATTCCTTCACGAGTAGTGCGATTTTGTTGTATTCATGTTGTAATATAGTATTTTTGTTGTAGTGATTGATATGGTTTTGGATGATTGTGCTAATATATTATTGTTTGAGTTAATTTTGGAAACACCTTTGTGTAGAACATGGATATGGGATTGTATATGCTACGGGAGAGGCAGAACAGGTGTGCTAAGTTGGTAGATTTGGGCTCGATGATACTAGATACTATGTTCTAGATTTGGGTGATTTGGCATCTGCTATGATGCGCTTGGTATCTTTTGTGATGCATTTGGTATCTGCTATAATGCATTTGGTATATCTTTTGATAAATTTGCTATCTGTTATGATACCGTTGGTATTTGTTATGATTCACTTGGTATCTGTTTTGATGCATGTTGTATCTGTTATGATGCATTTTGTGTATGGTATGATGCAATTAGTGTATGTTATGATGCTTTTTGTATCTGTTATGATGTATTACCTATCTATTATGAAGCATTGGCTATCTGTTATGATTGAATGCTCAGTTGGTTCAGTTACTATCTATTATGATGCATAACTGGTATGTCTCTATTTAGAAATATGCTGCAATAGATTTGACTGATATGCAGGATGATGGGAGAAAGGAAGACATGAAACATAATAAGGGTCCGGTGACAATGGTGAACGGCGAATCCCTAAGTTTGGTAAACCTTGGTCGTCTGTGAATAAGGTGTTTCTGTCCTTTAACCTTGAAATGCGAAAGCACTAGGTGACACTTATTTTAGATTTATCTAGGATTCGAAATTAGATTTGTGTAGGACTCCATCATTGTTCTAGTAGTTTAAAATCTGTTGAAAATAGTTTTCTAGCTAAGAGTTGATCTGGTAGTTCAAAATCCGTTGAAAATAGTTTTCTTGCTAAGAGTTGTTCTATGTGTTGAAAACACTTCAAGGTATGCAACCGTGTGAACACACATTGTTCTTACATTTGATATGCACTGCACGATTCACAAATGCCACATTGTGGATGGTATGTTAATAAAAAAAGAACTTACCTTGATAGTTGATAGCAACAAAAAAAACAAAAAAACAAAAAAAGATGGCAGAAAGGCGAAACCATTGTTACCTTTTCCTGAATCACGTTGCAACAAAAAAAAAAATTGACGTTGCGCACGCTTTCATGATACGTCAAGTACCATACAAAGTTGACTGGAATGATTACAAAATTACAAAAGAAAAACTGGAAATGATATTCATATTTCCAGAAACCCAAAAAACTCCTTACATTTTCATGGAATTCACTGCTACCTTCAGAAATGACAGATTGACATTGTGGACAATATTTTATAAATAAATAAACACTTACCTTGATTCCATTTGGATATGTTATAGTACACACCCATTGGAACAACTTTCATGAAGAATGCTGCCTCATCCGAGCTGTGTAGATTGCTGAAACAAAGCTTGCAATATGACCCACGAAACTGGACTGGCAAGAGGCTGTAGGAAAAATGAGTTTGTCTTTAAGCTCTTCTTCCATTCATCCAAATTAGGCCTTAACATGCTTGAATTGCATGAATTATGCTCTCTTGCTCTATTGGCCTACAAAACACACAAATAGAGGCAAATAACTCAGAATTATAGGAAACTAAGCAAAAGAAGTAAGTAAATTGGGCATGTATATGTATGAAATTATGAGCTTAACAGTGGTCAAATGCCGTTCCTAACCTTGCATTAGCGGGAAAGAAAGTTATTGTAGGAATTATTTTTTTTTCTAACACTTTTTGAATTATTATTGACCCTAAAAGGTAATCAATTTTAAAGTGTAAAAATTAAAATTAGGGGCTCATCCCTAATATAAATAGCATTCCAAACACGGGTCTAACAAGTAATGGGACAATCGCTTTTGAGCAATTGTGAATAGCATTCCTCTATACCTCACCCTATATATATATAATATGAAAAGTCTCTTGTATGAAAAGGTTGATTCCATAATACCCCTAACGCCTAAACCCCAAACCCCAAACCTCTAAACCCTAACCCCTAAAACCTAAACCATAAACTCTACCATTTTGAATCAATTTTGAAGTACAAAGAAATAGTTAATTGGATGATATGCCAAGTGGCGGTTTTCCTTGCTAATGATGCAAATGAAAACATAACCACACTTTGTAAACCCTTAGCTATTGTTTATTTGATCACATAAGGACGGGATCGAAATTTGAAGTATGTAATCGAAGGAAATGTCATACCAATCCTGACACTATTTTTTTTGGAAATTGTTTGAATTATGAACGATTTTTAAATAAGTTGTGAAGTAGAAAGAAATAATTAATTGCATGAGAAAAATACAATAACAAAACAATATATACCTACTTGTCACACTAATACATAGGAATATCACAAAATATTCATAGGAATTTTCTGTGTATTTTTATGATTTTTAATTTATTTATTATGAATTTTAGAAATTAAATTATCGATAAATAATATGAAATATATTAAATTGACACGTGGCAGAGTCTTGGACATTGATTTTTATGACATGGCATGTGTGTCATAGACATTGATTTCACCTCCCTATTTTGTTTTCGCTGGCGCTCTTTTTTGAGTGAAATTCTAATTTCGCGCTATCCCTCTCATTCCCTCATCCTAAAAAAAAATCACGCTTTAGCCCCAAATCGAAACCACTTCCCCCCTCCTCTCTCCTTATCTCTTTTCCAGACCCAAACCCTAAAATTCGCACACCCACTATCTACTCTACCTCTCCCTCTCCTCATCTATCTGTCTCTGTCTCTGTCTCTCTGTATGTGGCTACATGGTCTCTAAGAAGAAGTATGATTGCTTTGTAAGTATCTATTTCAAGAATTCAATTTCTTATTTCGTATTTAGGTTTCAAGTTTTATTTTTATTTTTGCAGAATCTAGGTTGGTTTGTCTCCTCTCTCCCTCTTCGTTCCAGTAACCCTCTCGCCCTTGGTTTGTATCAATTCCTAAACGCCAATTTATTTTTTCTTTAAATATGTTTCCTGATTAATTTTTCTGTATTGGTTCTGAATTGTATCAATTCCTAAACGCCAATTTGTTTTTTCTTTAAATATGTTTCCTGATTAATTTTTCTGTATTGGTTCTGAAAAAAAAAATGGGTATTTGTTGTTGGTTCATTCTATCTAGTTCACGGTTTTGATAAATTTTCAACCATCCTAAGCCCATTGTACAGATTGATGGTAGAAAAAGTAGCAGATCTTGATAGTCTTGAAAGTTTGTGAATCTCCTTTGTTTAATTGTGTTGTGAATTTTTTTTTTTAGGGGATAGGATGTGCTGTGATTCTTTGGTGGTATTATTATATGAGGAGAGGGACTTGCAGATTTGGCACTTCTTGTAGGTTTCGCCATCCTGAACATGTAATTAATTTTCTGCTCTTCTTCTTTCTGTTTATAGATGAAGACTCTGGTTGGTACGATGGTCAGGTACATAGGTTTTTAGTTTACCTTTTGGTTTTTACCAAGTTGAATGATTATGTTACATCTAAAGTTGATTCAATGCTCACAACTCTTTTAGCATATTTCATTGCCTTAAAAGTTGGAAGTTTTTCCTTTTCAATGCAATTTCCTTCCCTTTTGTAGAATCATAAAGCTTGCTTTCGAACTAATTCTTTTTGCTTGTAAAGAAGTATATGACAAGGTAGTAAAAGTTGGATATTCCATTGAAGTTGCCTGGAGGATATATATATATATATATCTTCTCATTGACAAATGTGGTATGCATGGTGCCAATTGCCTAGAATGTCCACTATTTCTTTATGACCAGTTCGTCAAATGCAGGAAATCATCACGAATCTGAATTTGAACCAACATTTAATTATCTTGTTTTTATATTTTAGTATTCTACTTGATGGCTATTCTGATGTAGATATTGAAATTTGAACCAAAATATGTTTTGTAAATGCTTCGAAATGAAAGGTTTAGTGCTGCTTAGAGTTGCTATGGGTTCATTTTTATATTCTTGTTTCAGGTGTTTGATTGAATTCTTATATTCATATTGTTGAATCCTGCCATCCAACGAGTGGGTTTCATTTGAAATTCTTAGTTTGGGTGTTTAATTCTTGTTTTTATTCAAATTTAAGTTTTGGGTTCAACAAGAATTCCAATTATTATAATATCTTGGTTATGCGCTTCACTTTTGCATAGCCTGCATTCTTTTGTACACATTTTCTTATTAAATTTCTCAAATTTTAATAAGTATTGAAGCCCTAATGACATCTTCGTGATGCTTTTAAGAAGCATATTTTGACAAGAAAAATGACATTTTTGGAGCTTAGGCTTTGTTGGGTAGGTGGATTGGTTTGTCTACGCAAATTCAGTTAAGTATTTTCCTTTGTTGGGCTTAGGCTATATATATCTATCACGTGTGCAAGCTTTTAGGCTAATAGCTTCCAAGAGGGGTAGACCGTTGGGTGGGAGGCCTGGCTGCCGTAATCAGCCGTTTTTTGCCTCTTGGCATGGCAAAAGCAGCGGTGGAGCTCCCAAGAGGTCATGGTTGCAGCCACAACACAACAGAACAACCCTTCTATCATACACTGATACCATAATACAACTACCAAGACTAGTGTATTATAAGTCTACACACTCCGTCATATAATCAGTCCGAAATAAAACGGCATGCCTTCCTTTACATTGTCTAAATTAAAGACTGAAATTGAATCAAATCAAAGTGCATGAAATACAAGTTATAAGATAGGACCCATTAATTGAAGTGCTGCTGAATAAGAGGACGGTTTAACAGCACACCTCTTCTTGTAGCAGTGTCCTTCAAAAACTGTCTTGATTTTGTTGAGTATGGCTACAGCTTCTTTCATACTTATCCTCTCTTCTGGTGATTCCGCACAGCAAGTAAGAGCTAATCTCATAATGGCTGATATGCAGTCCATCTTCTTCACATGATCATCGTCTTCTTGCTGTGTCATAATCCCAAGCAAATTGGCATCCACAACTTCATCTATCTTTGCATCTGGTAATACTAGTGAGTTTGCAATCCATTGCTTTATATTCATTTCCCCATCAAACATCTCATCTGTTGGCTTCCTTCTTGGGAATGTTTCCATCACTAAAATTCCGAAACTGTACACATCCCCTCTTGTTGAAACCATTCCTTCCAATGCATACTCTGCATTATGAATTATACTTATATATTCATGTTTATGAATATATATTAAATGAAAATTATGCATAATTAAGGACAGCATGTATAGAATTGAAAGATATTAAATTAGCAAGTACATCACCTGGAGCCATATACCCAACAGTGGCTAGAGTCATGGTTTGGGTAATAGAATCTCCTCCACCCGAGAGTTTTGCAATTCCAAAATCAGCAACATGTGCAACCATATCATCATCCAGTAGTATATTGCTTGGCTTCATATCACAGTGCACAATAGGTATTGAATAACCATGGTGTAGGTATTCCAGTGCAGATGCAGCATCTATCATTATGTTCAACCTCTGTAAGATATTCAAAGAATTTTGAGAGTACAACCACTTCTCGAGGCTCCCATTAGGCATGTATTTGAGTACCAAGGCTTTGAAATCAATTTCACTGCAACAGCTGATGATTTTGATAAGGTTTCGATGACGAATATTGCTTAGCATTTCACATTCCCTATCAAAACTCTTGAAAGCCCCTTCTAGCTGTAAACTGAAAACCTTTACTGCAACATCTATTCCATCTGAAAGTGTCCCTTTATATACTGAACCAAAACCCCCACTTCCAAGTAGGTTGTTTTCATTAAATCCATTTGTGCCCCTTAGAAGTTCTAGATGTGAAACTCTTCTCCAAAGAAGTTGAGGCAACGAGGTAGCCTCTCCTGCAACTTCCACTTTCCTTTTCCTGCATAGTACAAAGATAGATACAGAGGCCACAAAGAGAATTATTGATATGATCCCTGGGATGATATATTTAGCTTTCCTCCAATTTGGTTCAACTGTACCATTTTTGCATGGTGGAACCTGAAGTCGGGCTGCACCACAGAGTGCTTTGTTCGAGACAAATGATTGAGCGGAGAAGTTTTGGAACGGTCCACCAGTTGGAATTTCTCCTTGGAGCCTGTTGAAAGACAAATCCATATACTTGAGAAGTGACAGAGCTTCTAAAGACTTGGGAATCATTCCAGACAGATTGTTTCTGGACAAATCCAAGAGTTGCAGGCTTAGCAACCTGTCAAATGAACTTGGAATAGGGCCTTCCAAATTATTATTTGCCAAGGATAGATTAACCAAATCCCAAAGACCCCCAATAGTGCTTGGTAGGATACCAGATAGATTGTTATTTGATAAATCTACCTTTGTCACAACTTTCAAGTTTCCAATATCTTGTGAGAGATGTCCAATTAGATAATTGGATGATAAGTCTACAGACAAGATATAGGCAAGTCTCCAAAAATTAGATGGTATTGTGGAACTCAACGAATTGGACGCCAATGATAGATATCTTAGAGGTGCGGTTAGATTTCCCAAGCAAGAAGGTATAGAACCATAGAGCTGATTACTGCCCAAAACTAATTGAACTAGATTATCTAGTTGACAAAGTTCATATGGGATGTATCCTTGCAACTTGTTACCCTGCAAATACAAACCTTGGAGATTCCCAAGTCTTCCCAGTGAAGTTGGAATTGATCCACTCAATTGATTGTATCCCAGGGATAAGGTTACCAAGCTGCTAATGTTGCCAATACCAATGGGAATGTTACCCCTCATGCTGCAATTTTTTAAATAAATATATTGAAGCGACGATGTAGAGAAATTCCGAAAGGAATCATCAAGTCTGGCATTTAACGGATTAGCTGCCAAGGCTAATACTGTCAAATTTCTAAGATTAGCCAAACAAGAGAGAGTGGAAGTATCAATCGTCAAATTATTTGTTTGTAACGTAAGCGACTGAAGGTTTGTTAAGGCACATAGCGTGCTAGGAATAAACCCTGTAAATGAGTTTTGCGACAATTCAAGCCGTGTGAGCATAGAAGCATTGGAGAGGTTTGGGATTACTCCGCTGAGGTCATTTGCTGCTATATAAAGGCCTTGTAGGTTTGGAAGCCCAAGACCAAAGTTTGCTGGGAGGCTACCCGATAGCTGATTCAGACTAAGCGACAGTTCTATGAGGGTGGATATATTGAATATTGACCATGGAATAGTGCCTGCCAGTGCCACAATGTCACAATCCTATCTACAACAATTTCAGTATATATGGATTTATGTAACATAATCTAACCCTATCTAATCGTTCATGACTTTTAGTATAAAATGTCACATCATAATATTAATTAATACAACAATTTTTAAACAGAAATCTCTAAAAATAAAATAAAAGTCCTAAATAGATTTGTCTTTTGAAACAAAACACGTTTGAGGTTGCATGTCCTTATACTTCTTTTTTTTCTTCTGTTGGTTAACCTCAGATTTGAACATATTGACTTAGATAGAGCGTTTATTAGGCAAGTCAATATGTTATATTCATGATTGTAAACCTTGCTATTCGATTCTAATGAATTTTCCAGCGATTTTGACCAAATTTTTTTTTTATATTCATGATTATTAACTATCTCCCTCATTTACTAAAATATGAAATAGTTAAATAACGATAAATTATGCAGCCAAAATAAAAAAGATAAATCATAATTGGATCAACATAATGAAATATCAATTACCTGTCAAAGTGTTCTGGCTAAGGTACATCTCCTTCATCATTGTTAAGTTCCCAATATTCTTTGGTATGCTTCCACTGAAATTGTTTTGACTCAAATATAGTATAAGAAGCTCTCTGCATTGCCATAATTTGGATGGAAGTGGACCATCAAACTGGTTGCGACCCAAATTCAACTTTTGAAGACTAGGAAGATGTTGGCATATATTGTCTGGAAGACCACCACTCAAGCTGTTTCCATATAGACCATGGAATAGTGCCTGCCAGTGCCACAATGTCACAATCCTATCTACAACAATTTCAGTATATATGGATTTATGTAACATAATCTAACCCTATCTAATCGTTCATGACTTTTAGTATAAAATGTCACATCATAATATTAATTAATACAACAATTTTTAAACAGAAATCTCTAAAAATAAAATAAAAGTCCTAAATAGATTTGTCTTTTGAAACAAAACACGTTTGAGGTTGCATGTCCTTATACTTCTTTTTTTTCTTCTGTTGGTTAACCTCATATTTGAAGATATTGACTTAGATAGAGCGTTTATTAGGCAAGTCAATATGTTATATTCATGATTGTAAACCTTGCTATTCGATTCTAATGAATTTTCCAGCGATTTTGACCAAATTTTTTTTTTATATTCATGATTATTAACTATCTCCCTCATTTACTAAAATATGAAATAGTTAAATAACGATAAATTATGCAGCCAAAATAAAAAAGATAAATCATAATTGGATCAACATAATGAAATATCAATTACCCGTCAAATTGTTGAAGCTAAGGGATATCTCCTTCATCATTGTTAAGTTCCCAATATTCTTTGGTATGCTTCCACTGAAATTGTTTTCACTCAAATATAGTATAAGAAGCTCTCTGCATTGCCATAATTTGGATGGAAGTGGACCATCAAACTGGTTGCGACCCAAGTACAAGTTTTGAAGACTAGGAAGATGTTGACATATATTGTCTGGAAGACCACCACTCAAGCTGTTTCCATATAGAGTCAACGTAGTCAAAGAAGACATGTTGAAAACAACCACAGGAACAGGGCCTTTTAGGGCATTGTACGACACATACAACTCTTCCACGTGATCTAAAAAGCCAATCTCTTTTGGAATTTCTGAAAAATCATTAAGATATATGCACATTTATATGTTAAACTCATGTTTTATGCTCATATGCACTGCAACAAAAGCTGAGTCATGTATAACTGTATCACATCAAGGCAATGCAACAAATATATATACCATTGAAATTGTTGGAGTCAAGGTATATCTCCTTCAACATTGTTAAGTTCCCTATTTCTCTAGGTATTGCACCTGTTAAGTATGCCAAACAAAGACTAAGAATACATGTAAATAAATGAAATTAAAACAAACACCACACTACATAATTTATAGAAAAAGCTGTTAGAGTGGCTATTTTGGAGGAAAAAAAAAACTCTCAACTAGTCACTTGGTCACTTTCTAATTGGTTTATTAATATGATACAATTTTTTCACTTGAAGGTACAATATGGAATTTTTCAAGGGTGTTTTTTATATTTATAAAATATCATGTTATAATGGGCCTCCATGTGAAAAAGGTCATACATATTCCCTATTATTTACAATCTATCATCTATGCATTTATCCCCCGACACCCAATCAGTTTTATCATCGTAGTCTACAACATGTACTCGCTAGTTTCATAAATGTAAGTTTTGTAAAAACTTTATGAGTATATTTAAAAAAAAAAACAACATTATAGACTCAACCGTTCTTAAAATTAAAAACCAAATACATAATCTATTCAAGTGAGAGTTTTTGAGTATTGGATGACCTGCAAGTAAGAAAAAATTAGCATAATTTTCTAAAGAAAAAAAAAGATATTAGGCTTACAAATTAATAACAAGATGTTGAAACATAATGATAGATCAACAATAGAGTCTAGATACCTTGTTGACACATACGTACCTGATAGTTTGTTATAGCTTAGATTTATGAATTGCAATGCAGACAAGTTGAAGATAATCGTCGGTAGAGAACCTGAAAACAGATTTCCATACAATCCCAATCCTTGAAGTTTGGGGAAGGACCCAAACCACGATGGAATGAATCCCATAAAATTGTTGTATCCAAAGTCAATCGACTTTAGCCGATGCAAATAAGACAATTCCTTGGGCAAGGTGTCATGAAAACTGTTGTTTCTTAAATCCAGCTCAACAAGAAATGAGAGGTTGCCGAGGAGTGGAGGAATGACGCCGGTGAGTCCCATGTACGAGAGATTCAATGATGCTACTCTGAGGTGACGAGCACCACAAACAACGCCAGCCCAATTGCAAACGGAGGTGGTCGTTGACCAATTGACCAAGATGTTGTGAGGGTCACTAGTGACATGGGCTTTCAGAGCAAGAAGAGCAGACTTGTCCGTGGTGATGTTGGTTTGTGCTGCACCAACTGTGCCTATAGAATTGTACTGCAGCTGCAGCACCAGCAAGAAGGTGATTGACAAGAGGAAACAACTTCTCTCCATGACCATGAGCACCGAAAACAGAGAATTTCCTTCCAACTTCAAATTGTTTTTCGTTTGTTTTTTCCTTTCCGATTTAGAACTTGAAATCATTGAATAATTTGTTGCAGTGCCAATATATGAAGGCATAAAAAGGTGCCAAAGAGTGGGGCACATGATTGCACCCTTGTGGAAGAAATTCGCAAGTAGCCAAATGCAACGACTTAGACTTGTAGGAAAGGAAGAATGGACAAATAGATCTAACGAAAGCAACTTACTTGGAAGTGGGGGTTTTGGCTCGGTGCAACTAACAGGGCCTTTCAAGAGCTTTCATATGGAATGTATGTTTTCGGTGTTAAATCCATTTGTCTGTTTGTTTTCATCACAACGACTTAGACTTAGACTTGTAGTCTTGTAAGAAAGGAAGAATGGACAATTGGGCGCCTGTTTCCACGCGTCTTCACGTCAATCATGATTCGTGATATTCCGTCAATCATGATTCGTATATATATGGTCAATCAATCTAGTCTCCTTTCAGACCCCCCCAAAAAAATAAAAAAAATAAAAAAATAAATCCAGTCTCCTTCGCATAATGAGGGCCCTTCACTTTGATTTTTTTTTCTTCATTTTTTCAGAAATGTGTAATTATCTAGGCATAACGGGACTTAAATTCATTGCATCAGGTTATGGTGAGTTCATTCATAATCCATTGCGATTCGTGATATTCCGTCAATCATGATTCGTATATATATGGTCAATCAATCTAGTCTCCTTTCAGACCCCCCCAAAAAAATAAAAAAAATAAAAAAATCAATCCAGTCTCCTTCGCATAATGAGGGCCCTTCACTTTGATTATCTAGGCATAACGGGACTTAAATTCATTGCATCAGGTTATGGTGAGTTCATTCATAATCCATTGTTTTAAATTCATATCCCCAATAAACATCTCATTTGCTTTGTTGGCTTCCTTTTTAGTGAATGTTTTCATCTTCTATATATATAGCAAAAGATAGAGAATGGTGAAACATTCAAAAATCCCAAAATATTCTTGGTTAATTAAAAACACTAAAACAAAAATAAATATTCAATATAAATGGGACAAAATGGTCAACACGCTAACAGATTTAAAACATGGTGTTGATATTAAAAGTCCTTAATCAAACCTTTATCTTAAAATTTTTGTTGGTCAAGATAAAGCTAAAGCTAAACCTTTAACTTAAATTTTTATTTAATTAAAAGATGGTTGATATGAAGCCCAAGCTAAAGCTCCCTAGCCTACATATTTAAGTCAAGGAAAAAATTTCCCACTATCTTTAGCTTTTGAGTTTTTATTTCCTGTTCATGTCTTTTTCAGAAATATTTAGTTATTCTTTGTTTTTGGTAATCAAAATATTCAGTTATTCAGGCTCAATTATATAGAAAGCTCAATGATTTGAGCTTTTAGCCTAACGCTTGGTAGAATTTATACAAGTTCAATTTTTATCGTTTTTATATGACAGCAGCAACCATGTCATGATCAAGTAATATATTGCTTGGCTTCATATCACAGTGCACAATAGGTATGGAATATTGCTTGGCTTCCTCTGATACCAACTCGATTCAAAGTATGTAAGAAGCTATGAATTTATTTATCCATCTAACCCTTGCATTATTAGTCTACAACAATTTCACTATGTATGGATTGATGTAATCTAATCTAACCCTATGTACTCGTTCATGACTTTTAGTATCAAATGTAAATTAATACAACAGTGTTTTCATTGAAATCTCTAACATGAAAATAAGATTCCTAAAAAAATTAATTGAGGACCTATGTAATGGAGATGAAAGGAGACAAAATGTCATATTTCTTTGAGCGAAAACACGTTTCTTCAGTTTGTATGTCCTAGTTTATT